GATGGATGGGTGGATTTCCAGGTAGACTGATGGGTGGGTGGATGGACAGGTGGACAGCTGCACAGAAGATGGAAGGCTCAATTGATGGATGGATGGATGGAGAGATGAGCAGATGAATAATGGCAGACGGGGTCTCTGAAATCCCTTAGCTAATAAGGAGCAACTAAGAAGAGCAAAGAGCATCTGGAGGAGCAGAGGCGGGAACCCAAGCCTGGAAATAAGTGCTAACAGCCTCCACCTGGGCTTGAAGGGGAGCTTGAATTTTATCTGGAAAACAACAGGGAGTCTCTGAATTTCTTTTTTTGCAGTTTTTTTTTTTTTTTGCCAGGGGCGGGGTTTGAACCCACCATCTCTGGTATACGGGGCTGGCTCCTTTGAGCCATAGGCACCGCCCTCTGAATTCCTTTAACAGTGAAGCAGTATAAGAAAGGCAGTGGGACTGAGGACAGAGGGGCCTGCACATGGAAGTGGGGATTGGAAGCTGACAAGTAGTGCAGAGCCCTGGGCCTGGTGGAACTGGGCAGTGCTGGGGTGGGGGTGGGCAGGAGTAGCCAAGCACAGTATCAATGCAGTCTGTCACTAGTCAGTAAGGAATTTAGAGCAATGATGCTGCCCTGGGTATCACCCTTGTCAGGCTAGACCCGGGATGACAGGAATCTCCTCCCTGTGCCTCACAGACACTGCAGGAGCACGCCACCCTCGGGGTAACGAGTTGCACAGGAGCCCACCACCACAGACCCCCAGGCCACACTCACCTCTCATCCACGTTGGCGGATCCCAGCACAAGGAGCCCACCGCAGGCGCCCCGAGACCAAAGGCTCAGCTGAGCAAACAGGTAGGCCAGGACCATCCTTATCCGAGCCTGGATGACACAAGAGGGAAATGAAGGGTTACCCAAGACAGGAAACATGGGGAGACCTATGGGGGCACCACAATTCTGTCAATAGAAAGGGCTCAGAGACCTCCTGAAAACCAAGCACACTCAAATAATTCAGCAAGTTAGGAGTTTCCTAGCTAGTGTTCAGGGAGGAGAGGCCCACAGACCTCAGCATCCCTTAGGGGGCCACCTCCCCAATGCCCCACAGTCCCACGTGAGCTCAGCAGGTCCTCAAAGATGGGGAAACACCATGCCTGGGAGGGCAGGACAGGGCTGCGGGCTCAGTGGGAAGAAGCTCGGCCAGCTTGTTTCACTCCCTTCCCCATGGCATTTCTGGAGGAGGAGAGGGGCCACTTGTGCACAGCAGGAAGGCCACAGAGAGGGACAGGAGCCCCAGGGCAGCCTCCCCCACAACACTGACCATAGAGCGTCCAGCTCAGTGTAGCAGCCCAGGAGGCAGAGCCGTGTGTGAGCTGCTCCCTGAATGTAAAGGAACGCACATTCACACACACACACACTCATGCACACACCTGTGCACACGCACCTTTGCACACTGGAGCACACATGCCCTGCCCCCTCCCTGGGGACGATGGCCCAGGGGGAATGGCACCTGCACATTCTGCAACGCCAGGTTTTCCCTGCTGCTTCCTCCGTGGGCCGCAAACTGGGGGCTTTTCCCCGTAACCAGGCTAAAGATACCCACGATGGCCTTCACAGCTGGGTCAATGTTGAGACCGATGTGGTGGCTGGAGGGAGAAGGGCAAGCATGGGGAGCAGCTCACCTGTGTGCGCAGACGGATCATATAATGCTCACCAGGGTGACCATTTTAAAGGGTACAATTCAGTGGTGTTTGACACACTCGTGCTGTACCACAGGCCTCACTGTCTTGTCTAAAACTTTCTCATCATCCCCAAAGGAAATCCCATCCCCCTTAGCAGTCTCTCCCCATCCTCTCCTCCTCCAGCTTCTGACAGCCACTAATGACTTTCTCTCCCTGTGGATGCACCTGCTTGGGGTATGTCACAGAAATGGCATCACATGCTACGTGGCCTTTTGTGACTGGCTGCCTCACCCAGCACACTGTCTGTGAGGTCCTTCTATTCCATCTACGCTGTAGGGCGTGGCAGTGCCCCGTTCCTTCCTAGGGTGAATGATATTCCACTGGATGGACAGCCGGTGTGTTCATCCATTCACCAGCTGATGGCACTGGGTGATTTCCACCTCTGGCCATTGTGAATGATGCTGCTGGGGACGTTCCTGTGGCAATGTCTATTCAGGTCCTTGCCTTCAATTCCTTTGGGTGCATGTCTAGGTGCGGAATTGCAGGTTTGGGAAAGTTTTTGGCTGAGCTCACTCAACAGAACGGGCAGTTCCTCTTTTTCTCTTAGGAGGCATTGTGAATGAAACATTCTATATAAAACTTAGTATCTCCTCTTTGATAAGGCGCTCTCTCCCCACTGTTCTTACATAGAGATCTGCTCTATAGAAAAGGCAGTTGGGGGCAGTGCCTGTGGCTCAGTGGGTAGAGTGCCGGCCCCATATACAGAGGGTGGCAGGTTTGGGCCTGACCCTGGCCATGGCCAAATTGCAACAAAAAAACAGCCGGGTGTTGTGGCAGGAGCCTGTGGTCCCAGCTACTTGGGAGGCTGAGGCAAGAGAATCACCTAAGATCACCTAAGCCCAGGAGCTGGAGGTTGCTGTGAGCTGTGATGCCACAGTACTCTACCGAGGGTGATAAAGTGAGACTCTGTCTCTACAAAAAAAAAGAAAAGAAAAGAAAAGGCAGCTGGGTGGGAGCAACACAAGGACAGGGTACGAGTCACACCTGCTGCCCACCTGAGACCTGCTGGGCATCTGGGGAGCACAGGCCACCTGCAGCCTGCACCTGGGTACTGGAAAGTGGGAAGTGAAGCTGGAAATCCTAGACATAGTCTAAAACCTGGAGTGGGGAGGACTGATGTACGGTTCTCCTGAGATCTGGCTCAGACCAAGAGAAAGTAGAAACCTGGTGAGCTCCTGGATCATATTAAACACAAATGCAGTCATGGCAGAGTTGCCAGAGACTCTGATCTTTTCGTAGTGGCCAGCCCATTGCCAAACCCAGGGACAGGCTGTACCTTCCGATTTGCTGGGCCAACTCTTTGGCCCTGTTGCATGTCTCCTGGGAGGAGTTCTTGCTGGCCATGTAGCAGGTTGTCAGTATGCGCCCACAGAGTTCTCGGGGGTCATCGGGGGTATAGCTGATCTCATTTACGATGGTTCGGACATCAGCCAGCACTTCCTGATCTGAAATGGCCAGGACGGAATGGGTAGAAGCCACTGGCCATGTGCCAGGTGCCTGCATGGCTACGTCCCAGAACGAGGCCCGGGGGCCTGCACAGCTGCGTCCCAGGCTACTGCCTGGCAAGTCTGTCAGGTAAGTAGCACAATCCCCAGTTTTGTGTCACACACACTAAAGCTATAATAACTGTCAGAGCACAAAGAGGGGAGGATTTCCATCTCCCCAAGCCCACGTCCTTTCCACTGGGGTGCCCTATGAACACAGCAGCAAGCAGATGCCAGTCTAGAGACGGCTACTTCAGATCAAAGCCCCAGGAAGGGACTCTGATGGCCTCGCTGCCCCAGGCTGCAGGACCTGGGCATGATGCTGTGACATGAGGCCCATGGGCTGGGTTTTGCTCTGCCCACTCCTCGGATCCCCACTCCCTCCACTGGGCCCTTGGTTATCACTTACTGCCGCTCTTCACAGCCAGGCAGACCTGGTAGCACATGGAGTACACAAGGCAGGCGGTGGCCGCGCTGTCCACCCCACCACTCAGGGGCAGGAAAAAGCCTGCCTGGAATGGGCCAACCAAACAGTGTTAGCAGAGCCACAGGGAATGATGTGCCCCAAGATTAGCCCTATCCAACCCAACCAACCTCAATGAGGCATCCACAGAAAAGCAGAGATGCATGGGAGTGTCAGTGCCTTCAGTGAGGGCAGAGGAAACGCCCACACATGCCAGAATAAATGGATTTTCTAGAGGGAAAAGAGACCCTTTGCTCTGGGGTGTACCTAAAGCTGATTCTCCACCCATGAACTACAGACACACATGGGCACCTCATGAGAGAGGGTGAGCTACGAACTCTCAGGTGTCACCAGACAGAGCTCTGGGGAGACTGTAGGATGGAGCCAGACCAGCCAGACCGCAGTGCCCACCTGGCCTCTGGTGCAGACTAAGTTCCCACTGAGAGTGACAAAATGCTGTCTGTTGCTTGCGTTAAGAAAAACTCACTAGAATAAAACCAAACCAACCCGCAGAACAAACACAGTGAGCTAGCTAGAAATGGGACAACTTGTTACCTGTTTGCTTCGTCTTAAAAAGTCCCAGAGCCAGCAGGCAGGTCCCAGGCTGCAGAGCAATGAGAGTGCTGAGTTTGGATGTGGCCAGCCTTGCCCAAAGCACACCTGCCAGCTTGGCTGGGGCAATTCTCCAGGGAGACCCGTGCTGGAGACCAGGGCTGGGCTCTCCCCAGCCCCCAGTCTCTGTTTCAAGCACTTCATGTGAAGTGACAAATTTTAATTCTGAACACAACCCAAGAGGTGGGTGCTATCTGAGACACAGAGAGACAGTGCCCTGGTGCCCAAGGTCATAGCACAAAGGAGTAGCAGGGTTGAGGGCAAACCCAGGTATTTTGGCTGCAGCTTCCTCCTGGCCTGGTACTCACCCTGGGCATGTTCTGAAAACCCACTGCAGAGCCCCCTGCTGCCCCCACTCAGGGCAAACAGTGGCAGCAGGTGGTGGCGCTCAGTGACCCCACTCCCTCCCTGAAGTTGGGGGCACACACCTTATCTCCTCCTCGGGACTGTGGTATTTCCACTCGACGGGCTCAGAGATCGGCTCCAGCAGGTCCTCGTGGCATGAGAGGGCAAAGTCCACCTTCACTCGGGGGTAGGGGCTCACCCTGCTGGCCTGTTGGAGATTCATGACAAAATGACATCCCCAAGCTATGGAAACCCTTAAGGCACCCAAGGCCAACAGGAGAGCAGGGCTCCATCAGCCACTGGGCAGTGTACATCCCAGCCACACTCAGGAGGACCCTAGAGCCAAAGGAGCATTGGGAAGGGCACAGCCCATGTGCCCTGTGAGGGGGATGCACAGCGGTGCTGCCCTGTTTGGGGACAGTCCAGCAGCTCCTCAAGAGACTAAACACAGAGTTACCATAAGACCCAGTGATTCCACTCCTGTATAGACACATGCAAGAGAAATGAAAACAGGCATCCACTCAAAACACAGCCTGCGGATGTTCCGAGCACCATTATTCACAACAGATGAAAACTGCGAACATTCCAAATGTCCGTGGATGGATGGATGAGCCAGTGAATAAACACTGCCCCGTGGGATGTTATTTGACAATACAAAGGAAGGAATCACTGACATGCACTATAACACGGGCGGACCTCAAAAACAGCACGCTAAGTGACAACAACCAGGCACAGAGGACTGTGCGTGCATGATCCCACGTCTGTGAAACACTCAGAGCAGGCAAATCCATAGACAGAAAGCAGATGGGTGGGTGCCGAAGCTGTGGCTGGGAGCTGGCGGGTGGAGGGCGGTGAGAATGGGGCGCGACTGCTCCAGGGCACCGAGTCTCTCTTCTGGGGGATGGAAATGTGCCAACATTGACTCCGTGAATATACTAATACTAAAAACCACTGAACCACTGAACCACTGTGGTTTTGGGATTATAAGTCAAAAGAGCTGTTGGACATTCTGCCGTAATAATGGCTTACAGAAGTGCAGAGCTCCAGGTTCTGAGACACAGAGCCGCCAGCTGGGAAAGGACCTTGCTCACGCTCAGGGCTCTCAGACACCGGCTCTGACACCCCCAGACTGTGTCCCAAGGAGGGGATCTGCCTGCCCTTGCCACCCCCATCTTGGAGACCCCCCTGGGCTCCAGGCTGGGTCTGTTTCCTGATGTCACAGGCCCCCACCACCACGCCCTTGTCCTGTCTGAGCCCTCACTCTGTGTCTGAACAATTGAGACAGGATTCTTTCTGCACCCCCTGGCCCTTGCTCCTTCCCCACTGGACTTTTCACACCTGTGTCCACACAGCCTCGGGCATCTCACACGGGCATCTATGAAAGCACTTACCGCCAGGTTTCGAGATGAAATCTCTGCCCTGTAGCTCCTGACATCCTCCAAATCCAACGTGGCTGTCAGGACTTCCTGGAGAAGGAAATTTCAAAGAGAAATTATGATTTCCTATTTTTGTTACTACACATGTAATTTGATCACTGTTACAGGTGTTGCATGAGAATGTGTCACACTTTCTAAAGCAGGGGTGGACACTGTGGATCTTTAGGGAGTCAGGGTCCGGGGACAGTAGGCTTTTTGCCAACCCAAAGCCCTGTTGTTGCCACCAGATCTCCACTGCATTCAGACACTTGTCAGTGATCCGTTAGTTAGTGCAGGAGGAAAATAGGTCTGTCAGTGTCTGCCAGGGGCTTCTGGGAAAGCTGCTCTTTTATTAAAAAGAGACACAGGGGCTGGGCATGGTGGCTCATACCTATAATCCTAGCACTTAGGGAGGCCAAGGCACATAGATTGCTTGAGCTCAGGAGTTCAAGACCAGCCTGAGTTAGAGTAAGACCCCATCTTTCAAAACACCCAGGTGTTGTGGTGGGTACCTGTAGTCCCAGCTACTCAGGAGGCTAAGGCAAGAGGATCACTTGAGCCCAAGAGTTTGGGGTTGCTGTGAGCTATCATGCCATAGCATTGTACAGAGGGCAACAAGTGAGACTCTGTCCCAAAAAAACAACAAAAAAAGACACACAGGGAACAATGTTTCTGCCTCCGAACATTGCTGTGTGAAGATGTGATGGCTGGAGCTGCTGCAACCATCCTGTGACCATGAGGAAAGGCAACTCAGAATGAAGCCAACAATAAGGTGGTGCCCGAAAAGAGTGACCTTCCTATTCATATCAACATTGGGGCAGAACTAAAAGTTACTTTTTATTGTTTTTGTGCAATTAAAATTTATTTCCATTTTTGGTAATAACAGCTCTCCATTCCTTTTTGCTTCAAAAGAAAAAAAACAAAAGTGAAAGTGACACGAATCTGTCTATGAATTTTTTCATCTAAGTCTCTTCTCTGTGAAGGAAATTAAATTCCAATGCAGTAAACTATATTGGAGAAACTCTGCCCTTAGGTCAACATACATCATTAGAGGTGGAGAGTACATAGCTTTTATCAGCTTCTCAAAGAAACGTGTGGCCTGGCTCGGCGCCTGTGGCTCAAGCGGCTAAGGCACTAGCCACATACATCTAAGGTGGCGGTTCAAATCCCCAGCCGGGGCCCGCCAAACAACAATGATGGCTGCAACCAAAAAATGGCCAGGCGTTATGGTGGGCACCTGTAGTCCCAGCTACTTGGGAGGCTGAGGCAGGAGACTCGCTTGAGCCCAGGAGTTGGAGGTTGCTGTGAGCGTGATGCCATGGCACTCTACCCAGGGGGATAGCTTGAGGCTCCATCTCAAAAAAAAAAAAAAAAAAAAGAAATGTGTGGCCCCAATAGGGTCATGACCCCCTCCTAAAGGGTGACTCAGTTGCTGGTGAGAATCATGAGGTTATGATTCTCAGATCTGTTCTTTTTGTTGTCTAATTCCTGACCATTCACATCCCTGGGTGCCCTTAGCATCACAGTGGCACTTCTCAAATGTAACAGCTCCCCTGGGTCTGTCCCTCACCATGCTGGCCACTGTGTGTTCAGCAAGTCCCCCAGAATAAGACCGCACCCACTGGAGTACTTTGGGGTCTCCACTCCTGCTCCTAAGGACTCAGGAGACAGTGTGAGACAGCCCCCCTCAACAGCCCAGGCTGTTTACTCTGTGCCTAAGCACTTCCCCTCCTTGTGGCCTTGTGTGGCAGGAGTCCCCCTCCCAAGGCTGAGTGCAAAGGACTCGTACACTGCCGTTGCTCTCATCTGTCCAGTGCTCTGTGTCCTGTGCTGTGGGGTCTAGTCAGGCCCAGAACTCTAGGACAGAAATTCCTCCCTTGCCAACAGGGTGAATGGGGGTGATCAAAGCAGGTGGGGTATCCTGTGGAGAAGGGGACACCTTCTCCGTGGTGTCCTCACTAAACACCACGACAGGGTGAAGACCCAGAGAACTGACGTGGTGAGGGGGACACGCTGCCCACAACTACACACACACTTGCTCATTACCACATCATCCAGAGAAAACTGGGACCCCTGAGCAAAGATACTCCCGTTCATTGCTATCATGGCACAGCCGTCGTAGTAGAGCCGGTCCCCGTCACAGCCCTTCTGGTTGGCCAGCAGGTAAATTCCCCCGTTCTGGAAAAGGCAGAGCCAACAGTGTAGTTGTCAGTGGTGGTCCATCACTCTAACCACCCGTGGCTCAAATTCAGGAAACTAGGCCATGCCATTCATGCAGTCTCCAGACTTTCTCCCCATCCCCTGATGCTGCCTTGCCATCACGAATGCCCCCACCCAAACATGGGAAATACAGAGTCAGCAGCAGCAATGCACTGGCCTTTCTAGGCTCCAGGACATAACACATCTATCTGTGGTTCATAACAGCCCTGCAAGGCACAGGCAGGCCCTGTCACCTCCTTAAGATGTAATGAGCACAGAGAAGCCAAATCTATACATGATGAAAGCTGAGATTCAAACCCAGCTGAGCTGAATCCACGCCTGCCCCGTGAATAACCCCCTCTCACGTCTCACTGCCCCAGAACAAGAGGGGCAAATGCGTGGGCATATCCTGGGCCCCCATGATGCCAATGGCTGAGTGGCATGTTCTGGTTCCTGGTCGCCCTGGAGATGGTGACAGGACATGCCTTGCAGAGCAGCTGTGTGAGCTACCTGAGGCTGTGTGAGGTAAATGCCAGGAGCGCAGTTGGGCAGCTCCAGCACAGGATGGAATTATAAGCCGCAAATGTCCACTGTGCACAAGCCAAGCCGTGCAGCAGGTACTGTGGATGTGGGGTACTCTGTGCAAAGTCCCCGCCAAGGGCACATGCTCTGGTAGCTGAGCCCAACACCTACCTTGGTGGTGGCCATGGTCACAAGATCTACCCTGGCATGGGCTTTGCGCAGCATGTGGTGACTGCCTGAGGCGTTGGTCATGATCTCCACACCGTCCAGGCCCATGTCGATGTGGGGGCTGCAGAGAAGAGACCGGCAGGCCCCTCTAACCCCATCCTGGGCAGCCGTCTGCTCTCTCCCACAGTGTCTCCATGGCCACGGCCCCCGCAAATCCCAGGTCCTTCCAGCTGGCCCATGTGAGCCTGGGACTAGATGGTAGGGGGCAGGGGCTGACCTGTGGGGTGTCCAGAGCTCCTCACAGATCTCACTCCCAATGCAGGTGTCCTGGGTCGCCAGCACTGCATCTCCAAAGGGTACTGTTTCCTGCAGTCAGAAGGTCAAAGGGCACACTTGCCACACCCCCTTTGGGCTACGTACTGACCCAAGACCCTGGACGTGCCCAGAAGATGTTCACGAAGGCCGTCACTGTGTTCCAAGCCCTGACTTGTGCTCTTCTTCCACCTGGAACATTCCCAGCCCAGGTGGCCGGTCCTGGCTGCCCCTGCTCGGCTGGTCCCTAAAGGCCTCTGGTCACACCATTCATGAGCCAGCAGCCCTGCTCTGAAGTGCCATGGAGCTGATGATGACTGTGACAAACTGTGACTTAGCTATGAAGTGTCTGTCCCGAGGCACAAGTCACCATCCTCGTCATAACATCAGTAGCTGTTTATCAGGTGTTTCTCCTGCAACATGGCACTAAGCACTTTTTCTGCTCTCTCGACAGTGGCCCTGAGGAACCCTGGGCCAGCTTCTCTCCACAGACAGAAGCAGGGACACAGCCAACTTCGGAGCTTGGGCCCCTCCCGAGACTCGTCCTTCCTTCATTCATTCACTCACTCCACTGGTGTTCACTGGGCATCGTGGGCGTCCCTGCTCCCCAGGAGAAAATGATAGAAACCCAGCTGCTGCCCAGGGGCTTCCTGCTAGCCAGGGAGAGGGATGCCAAGTCATTAGTGAGTGGACACTCTCACGGAACGTGACATCGAGGATGGCAGGGCCACAGAGGAATATGGGGCAGGTGGCATGACTTAGAGGAGGTGAGGGGAGAGGCTCATCTGCACATCAGAGGCCCTTATGAAACGTAGGAAGGTCCAAGGGAGGTTAATCAACTGCCGTCTCCTTCCCCACTCCAGAGGCTGGGGACGCTCGATTTGACTCTGGGGTCTTGCACATTTGGAAGACGTTCCAGTGCCCATGCACAGGAACGCTTGTACTCCTGGCAGCCCAGGGGTGGGATGTCATGGACGCAGACAGGGCTGCCAACCTGGGACAGTCATCTCCAAAGTGACCTCTGTCCTGTGATCACATGGTGACAGCTGCTGCCACCCCCAAGCCCCAGGCAAAGGAAGGTGGCTGAGCTGGGACGCCAAAGTCCTTTCCCTAATAATTTAAAATTGGGAATAGGACATTTTTCTCTCAGTCTAATTTCTCTTTAATCTGGGAAATGTAAGCCCTGAGGGTAGAGAAGGCCACTCAAGAGGGGGAAGCCAGAGGGTGGGCCAGGAGGAGGAAAGGTAGATGAGACCAAGGAGCCCACCACACTCGCTGCACAAGTCTCCTTCCTACGGAAAAATTAGCCGGGCATTGTGGCAGGTGCCTGTAGTTCCAGCTACTACGGAGGCTGAAGCAAGAGGATCGCCTGAGCCCAAGAGTTTGAGGTTGTGTGAGCTGTGATGCTACGGCACTCTACCCAGGGCTGAGTGAGATTCTGTCTCAAAAAAAAAAAAAAAAAAAAAAGAGGGGAAGAGGGAGGGACATGGAGGTTCTCAATGTATGGCAAACCTCTTGGGGGCAGGACACAATTGTAAGAGGAACTTTACTTAACAAATGCAATCAGTATAACCTAACTCTCTGTATCCTCAATAAATCACCCCCCACCCCCCGCAAAAAAGAAGTCTCCTTCCTACCCTTTGTACTTGTGCTAGCTCTGGTGCCTTCTCTTATTTGAATCTAAAATAATTTGAGGACTGAACTCTGACTTTTTTTCTTGCCCAAATTCCTTGCTAAAAGGCCTGGTAAATCATGACTACAAATGATAAAATATCATTAAATGGGTTTTTATTAATCTGGTATAGTGCGCCTTATATTTCTACCTAATTCCAGTATCATATCACATGATAGATAAAAGACGTCCCCCCATCTTAGTGCAACCATTCCTTTCTGCTGACTTGAGGTCTTTAGCCAACCTTAACTCTTTATTTTTTTGCAGTTTTTGGCTGGGGCTGGGTTTGAACCTGACACCTCCGGAATATGGGACCAGCGCCCTACTCCTTTGAGCCACAGGCACTGCCCCCAACCCTAACTCTAGTAACCAACTGACAACTGAAAAATCCCTAAAACCCACCTGTAACTTGTAAGCCCTCCTTGGAGATGTCTCGCCTTTTCAGCCTAACCAACATACGCTTTCCATGTATGGATTTACGGTTTTACCTCTAATTCCTGTCTCCACCTTATGTACATTTTCTTAAGACCTCTTGAGTCCATGTTCCCTGGGCCATGGTCACAGGCATTCAGGTCAAAATAAACCTCTTTGAAGTATTTTACAGAGTTTGGATTTTTCCACTGAAAGTTCCTGCCCCACATGGCCTGCTGTTAGCCTAGAATAGTGATGACTGGCTGAAAAATGGTTTTACATCCAAGGACTCACCTGCTTTGTCAGGTCTTGTATCATCCGAGGGAGAAAATACTCCTCTACCTGCCTGGAAAGAAAAAGATCACAGATTTGAGGGTAACTGTCTCAGGAAAGGAAGGAAGAATGGACTCTAAATTCAAACAAAAATCAAGCTGAGAGCTTCTTATGGATGAATCAGCAAAGGAACTGCAGAGTGTCTACAGTCCAAGGGTCCTCAAACTTTTTAAACCGGGGGCCAGTTCACTGTCCCTCAGACCGTTGGAGGGCCGGACTGCAGGCCCTGGGACGAGTTGGCTGCTAAGTAGGACAGGAAGTGGCAGCAAAAACACCCAGCAGGCTGGATAAATGTCCTAGGCGGGCTGCATGTGGTCCGCGGGCCGTAGTTTGAGCATGCCTGGACAGTGCCATAAACTATCACTTTAAGATAAGAGCACCCAGGAGGCTGGGTGGGACCTGGGCATTTGGCCACATGAAACCATGGGGCCTTGGCTCTTGTAGGTCCCACTGCCTCTGCTTTCCCACTCACTGGTGTGCAGCTTTTCTGATAGGCGTGTTTGCTGAAAACAGGCCATGTTTCCCCATGTGGAAATTACTGATCCAGAAAAGTCACTGGCATTAACCCTATACACAATTACAGAGTTGGTGTGAGTTGACCTTAAAGCAGAGGGTGAGAGTGAGTTCAACTGTGTACCTGTGTGTGTGGGGGGGCTTTCTTTTGCCTGATAATGACTGGTCTTTGCATTGGAGGACAGGTGAGTACGAAGGGAGATGTGTAGGTGGCTGTTACATATACTTTCTTAATTCATCTGTTATTCTGGATAATTAAGTTAATATTTTAATATTAAAGCAACACAGTGTTACTGGCTTAAACCCCATTTGGTCATAAGGAACTATTCCTCCACCTCTATCTGCCACAAGTAGATCTGAGTTACTCTGATTTTGTTCAGAACTTTTTCAATTCTATGCATAAGTGAGACTGGTCTCCAATTTCTCATTCTTGTATGGCTCTTGCTCAATTTTGCTATGAAAGTTATCATACTGAGTGGCGCCTGTGGCTCAAAGGGGTAAGGCGCCAGCCCAATATGCCGGAGGTGGCAGGTTCAAACTTAGCCCTGGCCAAAACTACCAAAAAACAAACAAACAAATAAAGTTATCATAGTTTAAAAAATAGCAATACAAATACTGGATAATATTTCTTCTTTTTCTATCCTTGGAACAAGTTAGTGTAAATTCATAGCTAGCAGTTTCTTGAACATTAGGCAACATTACCTATAGAGTGACCTGGGTCTGGTGTTCCATGAAGGTGATCTGTGGTGACTAATTTGATTTCTTTATGGTGATGGGTCTTTCTGAGTGCTTTCTTCTTCACTCATGTTAGCCAGCCATATTTATTTTATTATTATTATTTTTACTGTTTGGGATTCATTCAGAGTATAAAGAATTAGGCTACACTGATTGCATTTGTTGGATAAAGTCCCTCTTATCATTGTGTCCTGCCCCCAAGAGGTGTGCCATACACTGTGACTCCCCATCCCCCTCCCCTCTCCCCACTTGCTCATTTCCCTATCCCCACCCCCCATGTATTAGCTCATCTACTGCCTTATTAGAATAGAGTACACTGGGCTCAGCGCCTGTGGCTCAAGTGGCTAAGGCGTCAGCCACATATACCTAAGGTGGCAGGTTCGAAT